TGCATTTCTTCTGACTCTACTCAATCTGCACAGCCAAGAGAAACTGAATTCTTAAGGAATGACTGCTCTCACTGGGGAGTCAGCTCCGAACTACTTACAATCTTAAGAATTTACTTGGAAGGAGTAAACACGTTGATCGGGAGTAGACGATGTTTTTAAATTGCACGTGCTAGATTTGACAAGACGAGTGAAACCAGCACTACTCTAACAGCAGCCCCTATATTCTTTCAGGTAAATTTGCATGACGTTAAAAGACAAACAGTTGATTTCCAAGATATATAAAAGAATGCACATGCTCACACTAAAAAGTAAACATCACATGAACAAGACTTTTGTGATTATTTAAATGTCAAATGAAGTAATCTGTTTCAAGGAAGCCCAGATTCCCTTGCTCTATAGCAATTAATCCATTCAAATAGTGTGGCCATTTAACCCTTGTCCATAATTTTTAAAGGGAATGCAAGGAGAGCCCCCAGGCTCAAGAAACAGACCTGGGCTGAAGTTACTGCAGGCTGCATCAATACCGTCAGAGGGCAAAAAAGAAATTGCAAAGCCAACGATGCAGCCAGAATCAGCAGATCAAAGAGCTCCTGCGTGTCAGCCCTCATCCCTCTCCAAGATCAACTACTGAAGTACAGCAAAGGCACCACCACACATCTGTACAGGAGACACCCCTCAAAACAAATGGATATAGATTACGGCCTGACAGTCAGACTTCTACCGTGGCATGAAATGAGTGGTATTTCACCCAAAGGGTATCTTGAGAAATGACCTTCATTTAAAACCAATTCTTCGACATGCTAATACATCTGGGAAGTAGAATACATAACTGGCTACATACAATTATGCTCACACACGTACGCTATACGTATCTCCCATAAGCAGTGTTTTCTATTCATTATCAATAATGCTTAAGCATACACTACGTACGTAACGTGAACTGAGCAATCTTCAGAGGCAGATTTAGCCTTCAGTGCAAAAGCTAACAGTAAAAAACAGTCGAGCACACGTTTGTATTCTAAGATTCTTAATTCCATGTAAAAACATTTAAAGTTTACAATATCTACAAGTACTTTAGTTACAGATTTCAGACCAGAACCAAAGTACGTCCAGCAGGCCTACTGTGGATAATCAAGTTTCTGAAGTCAGCAAGACTTGCATTAAACACTAGAAAATATCTTCCAAGGGTAAAGAACTCCTGGAATAAAACTTGCCTGATGGGGTCGTGCAGTCTTCACACAAATGGGTAGGAGGATCGACACAGTCCTGGTGAGAAGAATGAACTGTAGGCCTCTGAAGGCCCCACCCAGCCCAATGGCTGCATCCATTCAAGGGTATACAGAGAACAAGGCCTTCATAATGAAAGGACCAAATTGTTAAAAAACACACTAAAGAAACCTATGCAGGTCACTGATTTTGTAAGATGAAAGGTGCTTTGTGTTTGGTTTGTTGTTTTGGCTTTTCTTTGAGACATACTGAAAGCATTAATTTGAACCAATAGCTCTTATTAACTAATAATAAACTGTTTACGTGGCATCACTTCAGAACAACAGGTTATTCCCAGCCTTGAGAAAAACAGGTCTACCCACACAAGTTTCTTTTCTTGCAGTGTTACCCAGTGAAGGCCCACCTACACACACATCAGTTCTAAGCAACAGGGAACACTACAAGATGCCTGGATTCCACAGATGTCCATAGATTTTACAAGAATGAATTTTTTAAACTACATTACTGATTTATGTGAAAAAAAGCATAAAAGCAGAACATCTGATGCTTCTGCGCTGGCACGCAGTATTACCACAGCACTTCATTGTTAACTGCAGATCTGATAATAAGTTATAATGTCCACGCACAAATGAGAACAAAAAGAAGTCCCTGGAAATGTTGTCAGGTATGAGGCCAACGTTTTGAGATGCTGTTTTTCTTCCACAGGATATAATGTTTTGGAGTCTTGTATTCCATCATCTCCCCAGTCATCCTTTGGAGACAGGAAGGAAGGGAGGGATGCTGAGCAGCCATGACGAGAGTAAAAATCACCTGACACAGCTTGAAGTGGTGAAGCCTCCTATGTGTGTCATACTGGATAGCTAACAAATCTATAAAATGCATGAATATGAAATCATTTTTGAACCTGTAAACGTTAGGCATTTGATATCCTGTGTCAAGGTGCTATGCATGAATATCCAGAAGCTTGAGCAAACTACTTCTTCATCACAGGAATACTGATTTATTAAACTCATGTAGTAGTTAAGTGAAAATGCACAGATAAACACTACCTGACAGTTTCCAAACCACACAGTTCAGACATTTAGTACTACAGAACTGCAAAAAACCCAAGGCTAATCAGCTCTAGCTGGGAACATTTCCATGTTCCCTGTCCCAAAAAGTCCTCACACTGTAGGCTGCTGGATTGTATCCTAGCAGAAATGCCATCAGGCACTTGCCCTGGTTTTAGGCTCTCTCTTAATACTACTCTGAGCAACTGTCGGAAACAAGACTGGGGGAAATAGAGCTTACTGACCCAGGGACTGTGGCCTCATGTCTTCTGTTAGTCACACCTAATAAAAGAATTTGGTGCTTTGCACACCATTAACTTCTTTATTGCACAATGATAAAACCTGCAAGGTGACCCGAGCAATTTAAACACCTAAACTATCCCTGTGCTATTGGCTACTTGTTAGGTACACAGCACACAGAAGCCATACCGGCAGGGGAGGAGATAATTCAGAGACTTTTGTAATTACAACTCAGAAATTTTCATGGAAGAATACATTTTACGTTGTGATAGTTACAAGGGCAGCAGTAACAAAGATACTCAGCAACTGTTGATCAGAAACTTCTTCCCAATAAACAAGCTAGCCTCACAGTTTCCAATGCCCTATTAGTCCCTTCCAAGCCAAGTTTAAGTTAAACATCTACCTGATTACAAAGTCCCAAGGTATTTCATTGCAATTCGTATTTACCAACCAACCTACAAAACCTAAAACCGATGACATCAGCTTCAAGCTCTGCACGACGCAGCCGTTCATCTCCTCAGCAGACACGAGGTGAACCATATTATTAACTGAAAAGTCAGTTTAGCTGAAGTTACAAGGGCAAGTTAATTCTGATTTTCAAAGCCTTCTTGTAACACCCAAGAGTTATTTTCTGCCCTTCTGCAATAGGGATATCCAGATGCTAGCGGATCCTAAGGAGGAAGTCACCAGCATTGCCTTCTAGAAACTCAACCCAGAACACGGCGTTGACAAAGCGACTAGAGTATCTTACTACGCTTGAACGTAACTCAAAGAAATCAAAGCCAGCTAACACGTGCTGAAATCTCTCTAGCTGGGCTCTCTATTACACCATAACTACAACATTTACCCATCTGATGTGGCTTTTCCTACAATTATCAAACCTCTGCTAACAGATCTGTTATCTTCCTGTGGAAGGGAAAAATAGCTACTGCCTTTAAATTTTTGGGAGTCGAATACATACCGTTGTGGTTGATGTCTGACATCTGTAGGAATGGAATCGGTCCAGAAAGTGCTGTATAAACTAACTTTATTTTAGTAATGCCGCTGAAACTCATGCCACTGAGAAATATAAGGACAGGAGTACTGTGAGAGTGGTTTTCCTTTAAAACCACCTGCAGTAACGTGCACATATTTCTGATAATTCTACCAAAAATATCTTTTAAAACAAAGACATCATTTTGCATAAATGCACCACCTTGTGTCTTTAAAACTTTTTTTTCCCCCCGCCTGAAGTAAACTTCATTAAAGAACTACATTTCCTAAAACCAGAAAATACCCATCAAACCTTGACTGGATTGCAGGCACTAAGCTCAGAAGTTTTTAAATACAAAAAAATAAAATACTCATCCTTCAGTTTTTAAAACTACACTCATGCTACAAAATTCAGAGGGCTGTCAGATGACAGTAACTTATGAACTACAAGTTAGCCACACTACTTTTCCCTTGTCTTGATACGTATTTTTAGAGGGAGGTAATTTGGTGTAGATCCTGAGTTATGTAATAAAAAGGAGAAAAAAGGTAGTAATTTTCAACTGGCTAGGAATCATGTTTGGAAGAAGTCCTGTTGATTAAGAAAAATAATATCGTTCTAAGAACTGGTATTAAAATACTCTGGAAGAAAACAGGTTTTTGAATTTTGAAAACATTTTCTAAAGTATTTCTGCAGCCACTCGTTACACTTTTTTTCCCAATGACAACCAGCCAGCATTCCAGTACAGGAGTTATCCAGAATGTGACATCATTACACAACGTATCTAGGTGATCCAAACAGATGAAGCTATACACAAATAACAGCACTTTTAAAAATAAGCTTTTTCAGTCACAGGACTTAGGTTACAAAGGAAAAGCCTATAGTTTACTCACTGGAACGCACAAAGTAACGGTCCTGGAAATACATACTTCTAGTTGCAGAAAAGATGATAAATAATGGGTACTTAGCCATGGAAACAATGGCTAAGATATACAGGAAAAGCTTATAGTGATATTCTTACTTAAAACAAATAGTGGCATTTGGTTTAATACAAAAATACTCAAGAAAAAAAGACAGGCAAGAGAATTCCTCCGATAGAGGCAAAATCTCTCAAATACTTCTTGCACATCTCTACCATAACTAAGTGAAGGACAATTAATTTTGAAAAGAATTTGAAACAGAAGGGAATAATGATATAGGTGCTCTTTTATACTCCTCCATAAAATCTGTTCTGTACAAAGTACTGTTTATAAAAGACTGCTATTTCAAATAGGAAATAGTGAGTTACGTCATATACACAATCACTTCTAGAAGTGGTTATGAAATATCTGTCCACTTTTTACGTTGGTCTCCGCACAACTTTCAGTCCCATTTCAGAATCCCAGTGTAAGTTGCGTATTGGTTACTCTGGTTGGATCAGAACAAGTAAAACTTGTAGACGTCCATCAAATGGCTTATAATCTTCAGTAATGCTGTTCTTCCTGAGTTCTGGCGAAACACCTTGGCTATCCTGGTCAGTCAGTCGGCCTGTAAGCAATCACAGGCTGTTCTTCACCAACATCTATCAACATATCTAATGGAACATGAGGCTTGTCATAGCCAGAAAACTTGAGACAGCTGCTTGGAACGACTGTTTGTTGTATTTCCGTGGCAGAAACATCTGGACCCGAAGAATTACTGCATATATCCATTTGGCTACTGTCAGAAATGAAGTAACTCTCTTTTACCTTGCAATTCTGTTCATCATCGTAAGATACACCCTCTGTGCTTTCCTGTACAGACACCTCTTCTGCTTTGGCTGGCGCCTCTGGGAGAGGAACAAAAGGTGCTCCTTCACTGGAATTCTCAGGACTAAGAGTTTCGTCTTTTGGTTCTACCTCCAGTGAGGTTACTTCATCATTCCCTGGCAACACTGACTGGCCCGACATGACGCTTATTACAGATACATACTTTGCCTCTGATTTTGATTCAGGAATGTTGTCTGAATTCAGGTTTCTTATCACACTGACCTTAAATGGGGGGAAAAAAAATGAAATTACTTTTTAGTTCCACATAATCTACTAATTTATTGGCATTATCTTCTGTTGAAGTTTAGAGGTTAAAAAAAAAAAGATATATGAGTTCATAATACAAATTCAATGTCATTACAACCAATCCCAACAGAAATGAGCAAAATTAGAATGTGGCAAGGTCATAGCTTGACCTATGACTTCAACGGTTTCATTAACACTTTTATGTAAGCTCTGTAAAATGCTTTCTATGTGCAAACACATCTGCAAGGGCCAAATCAACTTCATGTCACCCACTGCACTTTAAGTCACTTGAAGTTTGCAGTGAAGGAAGAAAAAGTTGTAATGCTCTTCAACTAGCTAGGTAAACCTCTCATAATCTATTGCTCATGAGTGTGACTTGCAATGACTGTAATATTTTGTGGCAACTGTCTCAAGTGGGAGGAAAGTGAACTTTGGAAAGAGATCTTTAAAGTGACATGAGAACCTGTTTGCACACCCAGCAGTCGTATTTATCCCAAAGCCTTTCTAGTGACTTCTGTGTCACTACGCATTCCCTCAATGCTGCGACAAACTTTAATGTTTTACTTTGAAACCCCTCAGCAGGAAGAACATATGAATTCCCTCAATGATCAGGCTGCAGCTTGTTTAAAACCATGACATGCCTTCAGGCTGTTCAGATTTTTCTGATTTGGGGTTCGTTTGTTTGGGTTTTTGGGGTGTTTTTTTAAGGTGTTTTCGAGAACACGTGAAAAAGTAAGGTAAATTTTCAGCTGTATGATGGCATTCCCTAAAGCTAACAGAAAGCATAGGAATAAAGCATTACTCAGTTAATAGTGCCCTTTTCCAAATTTCATAATTCACTGTTTATGTGTATCTCAGCATATCTATAGTGTTTGATAATCTAATTTCTTAATAAAATGTACACAAGCACAGGCTGAGGCAAATATGGAAGAAAGGGATGTAGGTCGAAGGAGAAAAGCGGGAGAAAAATCATGTTGTTTAAGAAAAGCTATGAATAGGCAAAAAGAACCCCCCAGTCTGTAGGAATGCAAGAACAGAAAGGCATCAAAACCAGACAATCAAATCCAACTCTGCTTTTCATGAATCTTCCTTGATCAGAAGGTTGTGAGGCTGTATCTTTCCATTCATCTCTTTGCAGTATGCTGACTTTGTTAGAACTTGCCTTCATCTCTCACTTCAGTCCTACCTTTCCCCTCAGTTGCCTGCTATCTGTTGATGGTATTATGGTATATGCTGGATCAATAAAACTACTGGAGTTTAACACACACACCCCACTACAAAGCAAACAAACGCTCCCTGAAGAGCACTTAAGGGAGCTTTACAGATATGTCAGCACCACTAAGGTGAGGTGATCCCCCTGGGAATCAAGGGCTGTCACTGGAAAACTAGTAAAAAGAGCATTAAGTGGCTCCTGACTGAGAATACACCACACTACAACCTCGCTGCCATTCACCCATCATTCTCTCTGGATATCCATTTTCTGTTTGTGGAAAGAGTCAGAATACGATGTAAAGAATATTCAGAGTAATTTCCATGAGTATGTATAGAAAGCACCTGTTCCTAAAAAGCAGATGCTTAAAAGCTAGTTGCAGAAACCAGAATAAATCAATATTGTGTGGATACTGAAAATGTTATGACCTGCTGGTAGGATTACTGCACCTTTTGAAAATCTGTTTATACAGCTCTACCGGCACTGACCTTGAAGGGACCAGCACCTCTAGTTTTTTTGGGGGTAGCAAAAACCTGACTCCAATAGTCACACAGTATGTGACAAGAGAAGGTAATTCTCTGTGTAAGCTGCAATACTTGAGGAATGTGAATTAAGACAAAATGCTATAGAAAATATGGCTAAAAGCTGCATTTACAACTTCCCATCTCTCCCCATACCAGTACACGCTATACTAAAGTTAAAACCCAAAACCCAACGAATTCTTGTTTCTGTCCGTTTAGGATTTTCAGACAGCTCTAAAAACCAGAGTCCTAAAACGTGATAAGGGAACGCCTTGTACTCTACGCAGGTTCTGCATTTCACAGTGCCAGCTGGCAATGCGCAGAGACAGACCTGAGGGTAAGTACGCTCTATACAACTACATCCAAGACTCTTGTTCTCAAAAAGCAAACCTGTTTTTCTCTTGGCAAGTTTTTGATCAAAGCAAGATGGTGCAAAACCACTCCTATTCCCATCCAAGAAAGCAGGAAGCCATCAGAAGAAAAATATCTCGTGGGTTATCTGGTACCAAAAACTCTTGAAGAGCCACTGAGTCATGACTACAAGACAATTTAGCAATTCATGCTGTTACTCTTAGCTTCAAAGAATCCCAGCTTACTACACTAACTGGAAGGCCATCCAAAGCATCTCAAGTAACAAGGGTAATTAAGATATGGTTGCTATTTGAAGAAAAATATTTACCATAGGTAAGTTAATATTTCTCTTTGGTGCACATTATCTCTTACGAGCACACTGACAACCGGTGAGCTGAAGCTGGATGTCAGCAGTATTTCCTGGCATGTGAAGGTGCTCAGACACTGTCTCTGATGACAGCACCCGAGCTGTCAGGTCACTCACTGTCTAAACAGACTAGGAAGAAACACTGGTGGAACCCAGGTTTGAGGATAACATAAAATAATATATATCCCAAGGAGTCTGTAACAGTAAGGCAATCAACTCTTTCTTTCTTAACTCTCTTTTCTAAGGGCTTGTCCACCTACGAATTCCCAGTAATTTTCAGGTGCACATTTTCTGGAGGAGAGTTTGAGAAGTCCATTTCAATTCTTATCAGGACCTTGACGAAATCTGTATGGCCTCTGTATGGTTCCACAACAACTTAATGCTGTGTGAATATATGAATAGGAGACTATGTTACTGCCCTAAAGATGCTCACAGGGGAAAAAAAAAAAAAAAAGTCTTCACAAAAGCTAATGAAGCAGCTTCTCTCTTGTAAGATGACAACTATTTGTGGCAAATATCAGTCAAAATTTACAGGACTAATTACAGTTTCTCCAAATCAAAAATATATGTTGCATAACCAAAAAAGCCAGAGTCACAAAGAAAATAATCTGAAGTGTTTTGTGAATATACCCAAGTGTTCTACAAATATAGTGAGAGAACACAGCCTTGTTGTTCCTGTCAGGCTCAGAAAAAGCAACAAATGGTAGAAAAAAAGTTGACTTCAGTATGAACTAAAAGTGAAAGTTGATGCTTTTCAATGATTCTCTCTTTTATAGAGTGGTGTTTTCTACCCACTAAAATATTTACCACCATTTAAAGATAAGAGGCACTGAAAAATAAAGGCAGTGAAGTTAAAGCAGAGGGAGATGTCCACAGTGTATCAGTAAATTGAGTCCAGGCCCCTTTTAAAACGGATAAGCCCTTATCACGAATCTTACAACAAAAACCTAGCACAGGACAAATTGGAATGACTGGGAGACGGTGGGTGGAAGGAGACGGCCTCTTGAAATACTTTTTGTGAGAAAAATGAAAGAAAATTGTGTCTAACTACAGCTGGACTGCTGAAACATCAGATTCCTGTGATCCATCACAATACTAGCACGGTGAAGTCTTGTAAAGGAATCTGTCACATTTCTCTAGGTGCCTATTCCCGGTAGGATCCTACTATGAATAAAGATGCTTAAAACTCTTCAACAAAGATTTTCTGTAATGGAAGGTCATCATTCAATGCCCATGGTGAAAGACAATTGGACTGTGGAAGTAGGACCTGTACATGACTGCCAAGTTATTCTTGGGTGTCACAAACAGCATATAAAAGACAGTAAAAGTTCTTGAGACCTAAATGACAGTGGATTTTTTTTTTTTTCTTTTCTTTGGGTATACGAGACTCTCTGCAAAGGCAGCTGCTTGATGGTCACTCTTTCTTACTTTTCCTTCTGTTGGAGAATTGCAACATGCTGAAAGTCACTCAAATGATGTTTTAGCATCTACTTAAAGCTGCCAGGAAGCAGATCACTGGAAGGCAGCAGTCCTAAGGTAGGACACTTTGCCAAGCCTTTTAACAGACAGAAAAACTCCCTAGATGTTTCATTTTCAGACAAGCTCAGGTAAAGCACAATGGTCATAACTTGTACAGAAAGAAGTATCTAGTCATATTCAAAGGTCAATGACAGGCTCTCAGCTTCAAGAATTCTACAGAGGTAACTTCCTATCATTAAATGTATTATTTATATTAAGTATGTTATTTATTCACTACTTGAAACAATTAATTATGAAAATAACCATGACTCATAGGTTATTAATTACTCACTTTACATTCCCACATTATTCATATCACGTGTACTGAAACTATCCTTACAAGCGCTGTAATCTGTATTCGTCACTGGAGACTTCAATGGAAATGGACACTCAGAGTATCCTGAGTTGGAAGGGACCCACGAGGGTCACAGTGTCCAACTCCTAACTCCACTCAGGGCAACCTAGAGGTTAAACCATACATCTAAGAGCATGGTCCAAACGCTTCTTAAACACTGACAGGCTCCAGGCCATGACTACTTCCCTGGGGAACTTGTCTCAGTGCTTGACCACCCAGGTAACAATCTTTATAAATAGTTACAGGTTTCATTCAGCTCCTCAGCCACAAAGCATGGTGTGGAATGTGAACCAGACTGGTGCCCTGGAACCGAGGAATCACACGATCACACACAGCCCAGTAAACTGAGAATACGGACGCACAAATGAGTTCCTACAAGGTGACCTCAAGTGTGAACTTGAAGCACGCATCAGGAAGCTCAGGCGCGTTAAGGAGCACGCATTCTATTTGCGCGATATTCTTTCCCCTGATCCCTCAGATGTGATACCACAGTGGTACTGGGAAGGCAGAATAACTAGGATCCACTGAGCACAGCACTGCCATTCTGGATGAGCTGTCTTTCGCTATGACGAACCGCCTTCTCAGAAACGACTGTGTGTGTATGTAGGACAATGCTATGTATGCAGACAGTTACATCCTGGTGTGAAGATAAAAATCTCCAACACCTCACTTCTACAGGCCTGTGTGTTTTGACACTGGGGTCTAGCTGTAGATGCCATCAGACAGATTTCTCCATCTGATTTTTTTAAAGTCTCCAGTGTGAATGGCTATTTCTGAACTAATCTCAGTCACAGTCAATGGAAAGAAACAGGCATTTTAGAGAGGTTTGTTTTTTGACTAGAAGTGCGTATTATTTTAGAATTAAATGAATCATCTTGTGCTGGACAAGTTGATGGACTAGATTACTGCTTACTACAAAGGGACCTAGCCAGCACCACTGGCTTGGATATCTCCATTTAATCAGAGCAATCTCACCTCCTAATACTATACTATTCCAAAGAAAGCAGGCTCCAGGGGATCTTAGGCATTAAGCTACCCCTGCACTATGAAGGATTAACTTCAAAAGGCCTTGAAGAACTTAAAATTGAAGATGGCTGCCTTTTTTCTCCAGAAAGCTCATGAGACTACCAGCATCTGCTGAGAAGGTACACTCTTGATATGATTATGAGTCACTACCGCCTCATGTTCTTGAAAGCTGCTTCAACTGCTGCTGATCGTTCAGTTGCTGTGACTAACGAGATACCAGGAGGGCATTATAATAGTACTTGCCAGACACTCCGCTCTTGCCTGATGCGAAATCAGGGAGTCCTGCTGCTCTTCAAGAACATCCACTCTGTTTCCTCAACACAGCTACAGGGAGTTTTTAGGGTAGAGCAGCTTCTGAACTCTCTTCCCTGTGACAGCTCAGTGCGAGAACAGACTTCCCCTAGCTGTTCTTCCCTCTTCCTACAGCCCTGTCACTCCACTCTCCCCTTACTCTGCACATCAATTCAGGAACACTGTAGCACTTAGCAGTACCACAATATTACCATGTAATGAAGGAATCTCACAGATGTCCAGTGACAGGACAAGAGTAAATAGGCATAAACTGAAATACATGGAATTTTATCTAAATGTAAGAAAACAATATTTACTGTGAGAGTGGTTAAACTCTGGAATAGGTTGCCCAGAGGGGTTGTGGAGTCTCCTCCTTTGAAAGTATTCAAAACCCAACCGGACAAAGTCCTGGGCAATGTGGTCTTGCTGACCCTGCTTGGGCAAAAGGGTTGGACTAGATCTCAAAAAGTCTCTTCTACCTTCAGCAATTCTGTGGTTCTGTGTCTGTGCTACTAGAATGAATACAAATCTGTCTATGCACACACACATTGAGTTTTTAAGAACTAAGTTCTCAAACTAAACCAACTACTGCTATTTCAGTTAAAAAGAAAAAAAAAAAAAAAGAGACAAGCATAAAGATCTTAGAGTTATAAAAGTTACTCAGTTGGATATTAAAAATCTGACACAGATCAAAAGTCTGAACTTACCAAAGACTTAGGCAGCTTTATGTTCTTCTTCCTTAGTTTCTTGCAGCCATAACATACTGTCAACATTAGACTCAGGCTCAGAATAACACACAGAATGATGATATATTGCGTGCCTAAGAAGTTAGCGCACAATCTGTTAGAAGTTTGAAAAATAAACCACTGCTGTATCATTTAGAATAACTTCAGAAACTAAAATAGCTCAGAACGCTTAGCTGTAATAGATGAATTTGTCAATTTGCCACCTTTTTCACTCAAGAAAACTTCATTTATAAAGCATTATGTTAGGTAAAAAAAAAAGAGTATTTTCAATTTATATAAACGCAGTCATGTTTTTATAGAAGTAAAGCAATTTTGTAATTTATTTTTCATTCCTTAGAGATGACAGATGGGGATAACAGATTTGAACATGTGATAGCACTGACATAATAATTACATATAGTCTATGTATAATATAGTTAAAATGTGAAAACACAGAATTCTCGACTATTAATAGGGAGATTCCACTAGCCTAACTCTCATGTCCTCACCCTCAATCACTGCTCTTGTGCATAAAGAAATAACACAACTGCTTCTATCAACTGTACCTCTTTTCTCTAGTAAAGTTTTGGGGCATAATGAAGTAACATTAAAAGTTTTTAAGAGGTTATCAGAGATAGAAAGCTAGGTCACTACCTGTCTTCATTCTCTTTAATTAAGAAAAAGACACCAACACTTCAATTTTATGACCACAAGCTTATAGCTGCTTCAAACTCAAGGAAGTCTACATACACTTTCCTCGGTGATCAGACGGAGCAAAAAGCCTTTTATTAGAAGGGAGACAATGCTTCTGAAAACCATATAATTCAGTGAACGAACCATTTGTCATCTGTTAATTACACCAATGATCAGGTGCAACGGGACCAGGTCTTGCAATACAAATGAAACAGGAAATGTACCAAAAAAACCCGAAGCAGGGTTACTTGAAAATAATACATGGTCTTTAAGGGTCTTTAGAACTGGGAAAGTGCATTTGGACAAGAATGACCATGTTTTCCCATTTTTCATATTCTCCCATAGTCATCTGTAGCTATTATCAGAGCTCGAATACTTTGCTAGAACAGAACTCTGGTCAGACTCAGTACGTTCTTACTAAAAAGTTTTAGAATTCTCTTACTCAATGTCTGTTCGAGAGGAACATGAATGCAGCTTTCTTCTGATGGGGTGCTAACCATCAGATGATCATATAAACTTCCCTGGGCTGACACACAGTAAGTGGAACCTTCAGTAGGAACTGGGATCTCAAGGACACATTTATACATCGTACAGTTGTCTGCAGTGAAATTTCCTTCAGTCTGCAAAAAATGAAAGCCACATTATATCACCTGACACAATACAACAATATAAATGTCACAGTACCTTCCAACACTTCCAAAAGTGTTAAAACACTATTAGATAGTCCTCCTCCATCACGTATGCACCTTACAAAAGCTGTGTGAACTTCGGCTATCAGATTATGAGCTACCTTAAGATGTTGTATGTGAGCAGACCATGGTGCTCACAGCTAAAATTTGTGCTGTTCACAGCCTAGATTCACAATCCTAATTCACTTATAAAACTTGTACCTGGATGCATATGAAAAGGCAACTGTCAGTAAACATACCTACTGTAATTTTCCTCAAGTTCACCCTCCATGATTGCTAAATAAAGTGGTATCAATACCTTGAAAGGTAATCTTCTCAAACAAAAAGTCTATCCAGACAAGTAAAAGGGGCACAAGTAAAGTTACCAATGCTTAGCATGTATGCAGAAACAATAGCATGGGATCAAGTAACTCTATCTTGTGAACAGCTAATGCAATAATCTTATTTTTGTTGTAAGACATCTACTTGGACAACTAAAATCCAGACCTTCCAGTCACGTATCTCACTGTGATAACGCTTGATATTTTAGGGCTTCAGTAGTCTTTGTTATGTTCAACTGTTTTCTTGATATCTGTTGGTTCTGTGTGTCACAGGAGTCATCCCCTTGTTTATGTGTTTAAGGTAGACAAATATTTTTAATCTGAAGTTTTCATTTTGGAACTCACCTGATTTTTACTATCCCAAAAAGTCACCAAGTATATGAGGCTTAAACAAAGCTCTTCGATCCAAGGATGAAGCTCCACAGACGGTAACGCAGGATGGTAAATATCAACCATGATTGTATCACCATGCCTTGAGAGATTCAGTTTCGGTGGTCCTATTTTTCCTGCAACACATTGTACCTTTGCTTTTAACATAAAATATGCTATTTATAGCTAGCTGTCCAAAATTCATCAGAGACTTAAGAAGACACGTTTATTTCAATGCTGTTAGTATCACACAGCTGTGACACTTGGAATCAGGAGGAATGAGTAACTTCATTTTTCAGCTACAGTGGACTCCCATAGCTTCTAGATAGTACCTAGACACCCAAAGCTGTCAGTGCATGGGATTATAGTGTCAAGCAAGGCATCGCCAACCATCTGAGCACTACTTCTGTGATGCCTAAAGGTCCACAGCTTCCAGTAGCAGTCTCCTACCCTAAAATGGTTGTCTGGGACACCAGGCAAGAATATGGGAAGGATGCACAGAGTGCACCATCTGCACCACTTTCTTACCTTTGGAAGTTTTGAAAAAATATTACGATATCACAGTAACAGGGTTAACGAGTCCCTAGAGAGGCAGAAGTACAGAAGTTTCTACTGAACAATCACCATGCTTCATTTCATCCTGGACTCCTGACTTCATGATATTCCCAAATGAGACACAATAATACAGCCAAAATGATAATCACTAGATTTTTAAATTTTGGGAGAAAAGGTTCAGTTTATGATGGAACTTACCATGCTTTTGCAAAATAAACTCTTCCGTCTCAACATACTCAGATTGTTGTGACCCAACAACAGCTTTAACTCGAAGCCAGTGAGAGTCAAAAGGCTTATATATTTCCCTTGAGAGGTCACAAAAATGAGCTGAAATGTTCACACAGGTTGAGACGATCTTATAGTAACCTACACTGTAAAACAGATAAAGAAACAGTTAATACAACTGCAATTGCACAATACACTGCTGTGACAAAACAAAACAAAACAAAAAAAATTCTGTGAGGGTGACAGAGCACTGGAACAGGCTGCCCAGGGAGGTTGTGGTGTCTCCTTCCCTGGAGGGGTTCAAAAGCCCTCTGGACATATAGTCCTGGGCAACCAGTTCTAGGTGATTCTGCTTGAGCAGGGGTTGGACGAGATGACCTCCAGAGGTCTCTGTCAGTCTCAACTATCCTCTTATTTGACAAATTTTGCCTTAATTTACACTTAGGCAACATTCACCCTACATGACTCTACCACATCGAAACAAAAGAATTTACTGCAGACTGACTGCTTTTATAGGCTTCTAGAGAACAGCAGGTAGAGAAAATGATGAAGTAGTAAAAACTTACTAGTAAGGTTTGATTTCCACAATAAAACGAGGCGTTTCAGACATCGGTGGGTACTTCCAGTGCAAGGTAGTTTTAAAATTTTCAGATTTTATTACAAGCTGCCTTGGTGGAGGAACTAGAAGAAATAGAACAATTGCACTTTGATAAGCAGACCTAGTCAAACATAAGAACAGTTAAATATATTGCCAAATTATTTGGAAAAGGCAACATGCTAAAAATGACTGGAAAAATTAAGACACAAAAATTGCAGATACTTCTCTGCACATGAACTAACTGGTCACCAGTACGAACGCGTACAAGCACTGCAAACTGATTTATTGTTCTTCTCTCCAACAAGAGACCACTTTCTTCCTGTCTGCAACCCAGAACCTCAGATAAGCCATGCGCAGTGAAAGCCGGTCCATCAGGTAGCCCACACCGGGTACACAAGCTGTGGTCATCACACCCCCATGTTGGTATTATACAGATACACCAGAAAGCCAAATAGTACGAATTTACTGAAGTTAGAGGAGATTGGTCCAGCTCCTGTAGATTTCTCTTGCTCTTCAGCAACTGAACCAGAGCAGAGGCGAGAGAGGATACTAAAGCTGCAGGCTCAGGGTCTGTGTTCC